CTTTCCGTGAAGAAATTTTCCCCATATCCAATCTAAACCACTCCTGGCAGAGCTTGAGGCCATTTCCTCTTGTCCTGTCCCTTGTTCCCCGGGGGCAGAGCCTCACCCCACCTGGCTGCACCTCCTGTCAGGGAGCTGGAGAGACCAAGAAGGTCCCCCTGAGCCTCCTTTTCTCCAGGCTGAGACCCCAGAGCTCCCTCAGCCACTCCTCATCAGACTTGTGCTCCAGACCCTTCCCCAGCTCCATTCTCATCTCTGGACATGCTCCAACCCCTCGTTGTCTTTCTTGTCCTGAGAGGCCCAGAATTGTCCCCAGGACTGGAAGTGCCTTAGCAGTGTCCGGTGCAGCTATAAGGATTATCTGGGCCCCTTGGAAGAATATGCTGGGGGTATAGAGAGGAGAGTGGACACCCAGAGGTATCTTCACAGGATCCCAGACTCGTTTGGGTTGGAGAAACCTAAACGCTCATCCAGTTCCACCCCTTGCCATGCGCATTCCACCTTCCACTCCAAGTTTGGAGTTTGCTCCAAGCCCCATCCAGCCTGGCCTGGAACACTCCCAGGGATGGGGCAGCCACAGCTTCTCTGGGCAACATGTGCCAGTGCCTCAGCACTCTCACAGGGAAGAATTTCTTCCGATAATCCAATCTATCCCTGCCCTCTAACCCTTTGTCCTGTCACTCCAGGTCCTTGTATATAGTCTCTCTCCATCTTTCTTGTAGCCCCTTCAGGTACTGGAAGGCCACAATTAGGTCACCCTGAAGCCTTCTCTTCTCCAGTCTGAACAATCCCAGTTCTGTCAGCCTTTCCTCCTAGGAGAGGTGCTCAATCCTTTTAATCATCTTGGTGCCTCCTCTGGACTCACTGCAGCAGCTCCACATCCTTCCTCTGCTGAGGACCCTGTGTCAGTGCATTCCCTTCATGGTGGGCGCAGGGGTATTGCTGATGGCACAGAGCATTCCACATCCGTGTTGCCTCCCCCTCTGATCTCCTCTGTCCTTGCAGGCCAACGCGGATCTCCCAGCCAGAAGACACCAGACAGGCCAACAATGTGATCAGGCAGCCACTGGGTCCCGATGGCTCACAGGGCTTCAAGCAGCGCAGATAGACGCGGAGACACCAGGCTGCCGCGCAAGGCTGGGATACGGACACACGGACCTGGGCAAAGGGAACTCCCTGGTTGATTTGCACTGTGACCCCCTTTGCTCTGCCCACTGTGACCTTCAGCCCCACGCACTGTGACCTCCCCTCTCCACCCACTGTGACCGGCAAACTCAGAAGGGCTGTCCCCAACATTAACTGGGACAACGAGGGGGGTGTGGCAGACTCGGATGGGCACAGGGAGTTGTGTGTGTGCCACTTGGGTTGGAGGTAGCGCCAGCAATAACGTCTGTTGTACTCTAAACCTGGCATTTAAGGAAAAAAACCCCCGATGGGAAGCCTCCCCAGCCATGCATGTTGTCCTCATCACTTCCAGAGCGAGTTCTGTTCCCAAGGATCTCGTTTTGGCTTCTTTTGTTTTACTTTCTGTTTGGTTTCTGTCTGTTGGATCGGCGGAGAGCATGGGAAGGGTTTTACCTGTTTGTTTTGAGAGAGGTAGTTAATTGTTCCGCAAGGAATTCCAGTGGATTTCCATGGTTTTAATGGCTTGGGGTTGACAAGCTCTTGCTTCTCCTTCTCTGTTTCCACCGCCATGAAAGGGGACTCCTGGATATCCCCACATGCCTCGGGAGCCAGTAGAGTCTGACCTAGTTTACATCTTGCTCCTGTTAAAGCTTGGCTCCAATCTCCTGCTGGCTTTGAGGAAAAGCTTAAGAAACATCTTTCTGGTTTTTTTTGTATTTGGGGAGAAGGGAATGTAGAGTCATCCTGTGAAAATGCCTGCTGCCCGGCCACAGAGGACCAGGAAGTGAAGAATTAGGGATACGTGTTGAGGAGGACAGTATCGGGTGCCACCCCAGTCTGTGATGTTGGTCCAAGCAGGATGTCCAGAGGGTCTGACCCTGAGTGGCATAAGGATGGTACGAGCTGCATTTACCTCCCAAAGTGGCAGCCAGCGGGAACAAACCGAGCATTGGATAAAGGCTAGATGATCCCTCCATCTGGAGGCACCTGGCTCCCTGTGAGGCTTCAGGGAAGGGATTGTCCTTCTCCAGCTCCCTGGAAGAGGACAGAGGTTGGTGCTCCACAAGAATGCTGAGTTCCCCCTGGATGAAGCTTAATATCACTTGATGTCAAGGGATAGATGAACACTAAATGCTCTCCTTGGAGGGGACAGGACCTAGGAACCACGTGTGGTTCTCGGCATGTGTGTGCCACCTCGTGCTCAGTAGGTTCAAGGGTTAATGAGCAAATCTTGACGTCTTCTTTGCAAAGGGCAGTGACCCCGTACAAAAAGAGTTGTATGGAAATAAGGCTTAAACCCCACAGAAACGGTGAAATAAAAACTACCTGTGCATCAAACTGATCCGCTGGAGCATTAATTAGCTTGTTAAGGCTGATTACAGCAGTGAGGTGGGGTGGGCAGATCTCTGCCGGCCATTTAGGGGGGTCTCAGTTATCCCTTTCCAGGCTGGTGGTTGGGATGAGCTCTGAGAGGGAGCGGGAGGGGAGAAGGAAGTCAGCAATAACCATAGTCACCGCGCCTTTCCTTAATTAGTACTAAAAATAGCATTTAATTGCCAAAAATCCCAAATCCACCTGATTTCTGGTCAGTGTTAAGTCGCTGCTTCCTCCAGCACTGAAATCTCCGTGTCTGGCACCAGAATTCCATCACCGGCACTGAAGTCTCCGGCACTAAAATCACCTCTTCCAGCACTGAAATCTTCTCCGACCCCGACACTTCCCGACTCCTCCGTCCCAGTGCCCAGGATCGTCCCGCCCGCGGGCAGGGCTCAGGGGCGTTCTTGTGGGAATCCCCTTCCTCCGGGGGAGGTGGAGGGAGGACAAACACGGTACTGCGTGTTTTTGCCCCAAAACGTGCGCCGGAAAGAAAACGTTTTATAAATTGTATTTTAAATAAATTGTCTTTAAACTTTTAACGACTTTTACTTCTTTATCCTTTATCCTTGTGTCTCCCAGGGGTTCCTGCCAGAGGGACGTTTCGGTGGCTGCTTAAAAATTCATCAGGAAGGTAAAATCTGGGAGCGTTTGGCCAGAATTGTGCCAGGTTTAGCCAAGAAGGAAATTTTGCCCTGTTCTTAGAGAGCTGTGGTCTGAGGAGGATGGGAAGGGCAGAGCTTGGAGGGAAGATGTGGATCCAAACGTGGAGGAGAAGCGAGTTTTAGTTAATTCAATTAAATGTAATGATTTTGTTGCTCTGTCCTGGCCTCTCCCATTACTATTGTGCTCCACAAACCGCTGGAGAAGGTGGGTAGAGGCTGTTGGATGCCTCCGGCTGAGGTGAGAAGGACGCGGGGAGCCCTGGCAGCTCCCACAGGCTCCGACATATTTTTAATTCTGATTTTTAATAGTATTTTTAATGTAAAATCAGAAAAAGACGTGACCG